AGTAAGAAAATGCAGTACTAAAAAGTTGATAAAAAATTCTGAAAAAATTCTTAGAGCTCTACGAAAAAAAAAACAATAAACAATTTTTGTCTCTTGCTGTTTTTCTGTAAAATTTATAGTATTTAAGTAAAAAATTATTGAGGACTAATATTCGACAATTTTTAGTACATAATTAATTAATATCTTGTTGACTATTGCGAAAATTGCAAAATGGTAGAGGACTTTTCGACTCAGTTTAATTCGCTCTATCTACAGACGAGCGCTATCAAAACTTACCGGACACCCTGTATAATTATATAAAAAAATCAATATTTTAATATACAATTATGTATAATTATATGTATATAATTATATGCAAAATATGTCTATATATGTATATATAATATTTTTTCCGGGTTATTTTTTATTGCAAATAATATTCTTTTAAATAAAGTTTATGGTATATTAAAGATCTAATGATTACAATAGCAAGTCAAGAACTTCCAATTGTGAAAAATACAATACTAAGATACTAGATAATTCTAGATGCTTCATCTACAGAGAATTATTTATTAGAGTTTATTATTTATTTAACAAACTTGATTAGTTTTGTGCTTGAAATTGTCAGCTAAATTAACTATATTATTAAACTTTTTTCGATTCAGTCTTCTACTCTTTTTTTATCTTAGACTTTTGATCGAGCGAAAGAATCAGCTCAGCTAAAGCCTTTTGCTGATGGTGGTGGCAATGATGGTAGCAATGGTAGTGGCAATACTGGAAGCAATGGTGCTGGCACTGATCCAGGCAATGGCGGTAATAGTGGCGGTAATGGCAATGGTCCAGGTAATGGCGGTGCTAATAGCGGTGGTCATGGCGGTAGTAATCTAAACGTAATACAACTTGTTTTGGTAAGGATATTATGTAAAAGAAATTACACAAAAAATTATATTTATTATTAAAATACAAGAAATGCGTATTCGAAAAAAGATAAAAAAGTACATATGAACAAAAATGTTTTATTACACTCAGTTTATACAAAAATTAATTATATTCTGGATAATCCACGATTGATCTATGATATATGTATTAAAAGTCCATTTTCTTTGAAGGTCATGTTTAAAACCTGTATTTTTTCAGCATGAATAAAGAAATTAATACCATAAAAAACTTTAGAAGTTTAAAACTATCTTAATAATTATGAAATTTCACTAATTATTTATTAAAATTAATATTTTGGACTAAACTTTATGAAAATTAATAAATGAATAAGATTGTGTAATTCATATTATTCTTATAATAATAGAGGAAAAGCCCCTATTATGAGAAACAGAGTTCATTTTGGGTAAATGCTAGACGTCTATGGGCAGAATTTAAAAAAATAATAGGTCATTTTGAAGGGAATTTAATAAACTTTAAGATAATGTTATGTAAGATTTAATTCAAATCCTATTTTTTTTTAAATTAAAGAAATGTTAAAAGTGAGCAAATCGCAAAGTAAAAAAATTGTGCTCCTAATATGAGATGTCCAGAGAAATCGATAACGCAAAGTACATCAGTGTTGCAATTAAAAAACTTTATTTAATGTTTCTAAAATACAAACAAACACAGCCAGTGCGCGCACAAAATGAGCATGCGATGCATTGTACCTAGGACTCGTCTTCAGGTAGTTGGAATCAAGCATCGCAGAAACAGGCATTCGATGTTCCGGTTGTCCTTTTTATAATTGTACAATAACATTTATATTTTAGCAACGATTTTCACTGTGACATAGGAGCATAGGTTATTTTATATTAGAAAAATATTCTGAGTATCTCATATTATGATTTTCACGCCTTACGATTTTATGATTATCAAATCTAATTTTTGTAATTAAGCAATTCAATGTATCTCGTATTTTTCTATTAATACGACCTTGCTCTATCACTACATGAAGAATTTGTTGCCAAATATTTACTTATTAAATAATAAACAAGATTTAAAGACTCATCTCAATGAAACTTGAAAATATTCAAATTCTAATTCAATCTTTTTTTACAACGACTACAGGCATGATCTAATACTGAATTTTTCACTAAATAGTTTGCAATCCAAGAGCAATAAATTCATGGTGGAACCAATAGATATAGCGTTATTAGTTTAGTAGAAACGCCACTATCTCATATTAAGTGCCTATCTCATAATTGGGGGCTTTCTCTTCTAAAATTTAATAGAATTGAATAAAAATCATTTATCATTACGACTTATAGAAAATTTCTTTGAATATTGCAGCGATTACTATGCTCTTTATTAGGATCAACAATAGATAGTATAAGTCTAGGTAGTATTTGTGAGGGGCTGGGGCCATAAAAGGAAGAATAAAATACGCATTATGTAAGTTATGAATATAATCTCTGAATGTTAAACATTGCATTATAATAGGTCTTTAACAATAATTTAATAATTTCTAGAGTTTCGTATATAGAGGAGTTCATTTTTTTACAGGAAGGATAACTTCTATTATCGACATCGTAAAGGCATTGTTATGAAAAATATTTTATTTATTAAATTATATTATCATTATTACTATTATACATATAACTGGAATGCACTGTGTCTCTTTTTAAATACATTTAATTTTTAAGTCAACAAGTATTGCATATATTTTGCACTTCTAATAAATAGTATATTGAGCAATTAGATTCTGCTATGAAATTATTTCAAATATTCCATAGTTTAAAATAATATTATGCATGATACATAATTAATTATTTAATAATGACTTCGTTATTAGGATTCTTTTTGTTTAAATAATATATTTGGGAGGTTTTTTTAACACACCCACATACTATCTGGAATAATATATACTCAAAAAAAATCTTGATATATCTTGATCATCCGTCATTATTTTTCCATCATTCTTATTTCAGATAGCAATTTGAACAAGCAAAAAAGAAAAACTAATAGTTCGTCTCTTGGCACTTATATGTAAGTATCAAGAGACGAACTATTGGTTTTTTTTTCTTGTTCAAATTGCTATCTGAAATAAAGAATGATGGAAAAATAAACGCGCTTATTATCGTTGGACCAGAAATAATTTTAAGATAATGTAAAGAATTCCATAATAATCGCGAACGATTGCCAGCTCGAAATGCAACAAGCGACAATTAAGGGATAATATCACCTCTGAGGTTTAAAAAAAATCTTTCTTTTTTTGCTTAAATCATTAGTTTATAGAAATATGATCCAAGTATTTTTAGAACGAAATTCGAATTGTATTATATAGTGTTAGAGCTGACTAAATGAACCATATCTCTGAGCTCATTCGAGCAGCTGCAGGCGGTTCGGCGCGTCCCCGCCTTTTCCGTGCTCCGTAGGTACATGGATCTATTTATATATAGTGGAACTTCCATAACTTCTACTACTCGAGGTTGTGAGAAGTTAAAAAAATTCTCTTGATTCTCACGTTAGGGCGCCGCATTAAAAAGAAATAGCATGTATTACATATAGTGAGAACATTTGAACAGATGCTAACGCAACATAACCTATTTTACGCTGAATATTTTTATACACGACGTCATGTACATATATAGAAGCGAAAATGAAGAAGATATAGAGTACTGAAGTTAGAGCAGTTCCACTGTACCGAGAAATAGCTTATTTGGTTAATATAATATGAATGTCACTACTTATAGGGGAGAGTAGAGTAAATCGGACCTATTTACAGTTTTTGCTCTCTATAAGGCGTAGATAAAGTTCGATTGTAAAACCGAAGGTACCGTTGGAAAGGTCATTTAATTCCTTTCATTTTTGCTTCAGACCATTTTAATATATCTCTCACCTGTGTTGAATTATAATGGAAAATGTAAAAACGCTTTTTCCGGTCCGATTTGGAACCAATGATTCCAAATCGGACCATCCCGTGGTTCAAATCCTCCTATTTTTATAGACTTTTAGATATTATAGAATTTTAAAATATTTTAATGTATTTTTGTTAGTATTGATTAAAAACAAGCAATTTGATAGTCAAAGATAAAAATTTTATTAAAAAAAAGTTACTGATAGTTTATATTATTAGAATTATTGAAATCAATAAAACTCAATTAATCTGAGTCTGATGACACATGATATTTTACTGATTTAATTCCTTTGAATCTGGTCGGCCGATCACCGCTAGTACTACAATCAGGCCTATAAGTTATTCACTGTACTGTCCGATTTGGACACGGAACCTTTCGAACTTTGGAACAAATTTTACAATAAACCGCAAAATGATCACATAACGCTTGATATTTTTAAATTCTACACTCTTTAATTATCTTAAATTAATTATCTTAGAGCGAGTATAGAATAGGACAAGTAACTCGAACGCGTTTAATACAAGAGACAGATTTATTTAACAGCACACACAACGGTGTTACAAGATACGTACATGTATTATGATTCTTAAAAAACAGACGTAAAATGAAAAACTTAGTAATGCTTGATAGCAACGTGGTGCGAAGAAGAAAAGAGTCGAGCAACAAATAAAAAGGAAAAGATTATAAGCCTCATAAGGCGGAAGTGATTATCTAGTGATCGATAAGTAGGCTATCGATGATCAATCGATGTCAAGAGCAGGAAATTGAATTCCCAACAAATTACCTTTCAAATTTTTAAAACCTTTTAAATAATGATTTACAAAGATTTTCTTTTTCAAAAAAATTTTCGCACGATGGCTGAAAATACATATTTGCATCTATTCTATGAATGTTATGACAAAGAACTGCTGTCACGTGTTTGCTGTCTTATAAGGACTTTACATTATAAATGGTATGCAAATCTGCTTAACCGTATTCATTTAAATTAAAAAGGTCCTATTTGGAACATGGTCCGGTTTAGGCCACTCTCCCCTACTAAATTATTAAAAAATTTTGAAAGCATCGGTTTCTGTGTTTATGCGACGCTATTAGTACCTAGCTGGAAATTACGCGCGTCGCATGTCACTGTGTTTTACGCGATAAATATTTAGGACTTTTATAATAATTGGAGAGTATGAGTAATAAAAAACTGTACGAGGGGAGGAAAGGTACTCTTGATTCACTTGCACGTGCTTCTCGAAATAGTATCAAAAGAAGAAAGCCATTGAATCGTTATATATTGGAGAAGGAAACTGAGAACGTGAACTCTGCGAAAAAGCTGAAATCTTTTCAAAGCTATAAAGCCTATTTATGAAGAAATGAGTAGCGATGAATTACTAATAAGATGTATAAGAAAGCTTTACTCAAAATACTAACGAAAGTTTTAACGCAACTGTATGGTCGATAGTTCCAAAATTTTATGGGAATGACAAAACAATTTCAGATATAGCAACAGACTTGGATGTTTGCTATTATAATGATGGCTACAACAGCATAATTCAAATTATGAGAGTTTTGAACCTCATGGTGGCCTCACGTGATTCAATTTTTGCCAAGAAGCAGATGCACAGTGTCAGCCTCACCAACGAAGCAAAAGAGACTAGAAAAGCTTTATTATCATCTAGAAAGGAACGTAATGAGGCTATTAAATTCATGGAAGAACAGTGCGCCTTTGTAGGGCAGGCATTGAGGGCAGGTGAATTAGAGGTAAATTAAAAAAGAATTTTCAACTTTATACACAAAAAATCAGTTACAAAAACTTTAAATGTGTTTTTCTCAAAACACAGTTTTTCAAATGTGCATGCAACGTTATTCTTACAATGTTTATCCGATTAATTTGAAATTTTACTACAATCTTCTTGTACATACCGTGCTCTGAAGTACATAGGCTTTTTGTAAAATGTTGAAAACTTTTTGCAATCAGCATTTTTTAAAACAAATTTTTAGTGCGAGAAAAATGTATTTTTTCTATAAACAGCTGCCTGTTTTTGAACAAACATTAATATTTTCAAAAATCCCTACATACTCCAAAAGCTTATCATATACAATAGATAATGGACATTTTTTTGCTTTGTTCCAGGATAAACTATCTCACGGAAAACGTGCACGCAAATGTTCATGTTTTAAAAAAAGCGATTTTGGAAGAAGACCAGTACGCCGCCATTTTATATATAAAAAAATTAAAAAATTATTTTTTTACTCCTCAATATATGTACAATAAAATCTTCTAAGTTATTTTTGAATAATGTTATTTATTTACCCACAATAAATTTCCAAATTTAGTAGGGCCAAATTTTAAAGCCTCAGGGATGGTTACGCCTTAAAACGTTTTACCATCAAAAATGAATTTATAAGATCGCATGTGTTGAAAATAAATATAAAAAGTGTTTCAGACAAGTGTGCACGATATACGTACGTGTCATAGAATCTGTAAATATAAAGCCAGAGTAGTTTTGTATGAGTAGGTCTTTAATTTATAATAACTATTATTAGATAAAAATGATCATGCGACTTTTACGATTTTCCACCTACTCATACCTCGGTGGCACGGGTTAAAATTGTTAAAAAGATCTGAAAAAGATATGGTATTATTTTTTCGAGATATTGAACCACTTTAGGGGGTGTCAAAAATTGTTAAAATAACGACCACCCTAATACTTATGACTTGTTTTTATATAAAATGAGCTTATATATAAACAAATTCTACAAATACGAAAAAATTCTTATGATTTTCTTTTGCAATAATTGTGCAGATAATATATAAAAGTTAAAATGTATAATTAGTAAGTGGCAGTAGTCATGAATATAGGTACACTACCGTAAGTACTGTACATAATTATTCGAACAGTATTTTATACTATACTCCAATTTTAAAAGTTTAATAAATGTTGTGCACTGTTGTTAACACAAATGATACTGCTATTAACACAAATAATACGTATTAGAATAATTGACGTTTTTTTATCGTATATTTGTTATAATTGTATATTCTAAAACATAAATTAGTGAAACAACGTTTGGACTATTTCCAACTATTCTTGAATCGTTGAAATATTCTTAAATGATATTATATTGGGATATTATATTGGGATATTACTTTGCTTCAATAATTAAAATTTAGAATACGTATAATTACAATCAATATTATGCACAACAAAACACTGTCAATTATACAAATAAAGTATTATCTATGTTGACAACAATATGTATGGGCCATAATATTCCTTATTTAACTTTTAAAATTAGAGTAAAGTATAAAATATCTGTCGTTTAAATAGTTATAATCGATGTACAACATTGTTGGTAAAGAATATCAATTCATTAGGCTGCAATGCACAAGAACGCAAGAATGTTTGTCTTGATTTATAAAAAAATAATAAAAATAAAAAAATATTAAATAATGTCGAAATAACATAAATATTAAACATTTTAACAATATCAAGAAAATTCTATATTTTTTTCCTTATATATATATATATATTTAACATAAATTCTATATATTTTCATGAATTTTATCTCATTTTGATTAAGAAACACGTTTTTTATCTGACATTTTTTTTAAAGTAAAAAAACCTGTTTTTTTCATGTCTAATGTAAATCAAAAGTTTTTCAACTGGTGATAGTATGTATATATATATATATATAAGTACACTAAAGTAGTCTAAACAATAACACAATTGCTATTTTATAATGTCCTAATTTT